ATTCCTTCTTCCATTCGAGACATTAAAAATACTTTTTGCCGAAAATAAAAATGCATCTTTTAGAGTTGCTAAAAGAATCATAATGTGTATCTAATTTAAAACAGAATACATTAGGATGGAATATTTCATTCAACATATATAATAATACTTATTGAAAGCCAATTTTTTAACTACTAGTTTGGAAAATACCTCTCTCCTAGGAAGAACCACCAAGGAACTTAGATTATTATTTATTGTTACAAATACTTTACAATAACAGTATATCTATTATTGGAAATATTAATTAAAATAGAACATTCTCTTCTCTTATCCTCTTGTTCTAACATCTATCCGTGGTTAAGAAAAACGTAGCAAAATATTAAATTAATGAAATATTTTACCCTCAAGGGAATGAAATCACAGCAGCTATTAGAGCTCAATGCTGTGTCATCTTATTTTCAGTATTTTGCTCTCTAAAAATTATTAAGATATTATCAGTTTTCGTGTAGTGACGGTGTAAGAATATCCACTACCACATATCATCCCGTGGGTGTCGTAAGAGGCGACAGAGGGAAACAAATCAGGAGATGGGCAGCAGCGTCTTCCTAATAACGACTAAAAATAAAAATAAACTACGGTTGCCAACCAGCTTGCCAAGCGTGGCTTGCTAACAATGGAAAATGGGGGATATTTGCCTATGCGGCATTTTATGCGCAGGCCTATGTTCAGCAGTGGATTTTAATAGGCTGTGACGGTAATAGCACGGTAGTGATCACCTCATTCCCAGGGGCTATTTGCTTTCATGTATTCCTTAATATTATAATTCCCATTTTATACAGTTTTTATTTAATAATTTTTTTAAACTTGTTGATTGTACCCTTAAACATTTTCTGGGATTTTGCTGTAAAATCGTACGTATACATTGCCTCATAAATGAATTACTAATTCTGTGGAGCCCAGTAACTGGCATTACAAGCATTTTTTTTCTTCTCATATTTAAAGTATGAATATTTATGTGTTTATGTACGTACATTACATTTTGAAATACATTGCAAGGATAAAGTTATTACAGGTAATTGTAAATTAACACATATGATAGTCTAGAAAAACATTAAATTATACATAATTTGTAGTTATAAAATGTATAAATCGGGCAGATGCTCATTTAATGATGATTTATAACAAATTTAAAGTTAGTTTAATTTAAACTTAACGTTAAATTTACTTCCATTGTCTGAGTTTTCAAGGTAATTAGTAAGCGTTCCCGCATGACATGTTTAGTGATTTCAAACCAAGAAAAAGTCAGATTAAACCAATATCGTCGCAGGTTAAAAATTATTTAACTATCTGTTTGTTTATTGTTATTGTTTATATGTATAAAGCCTTATTTTAGTATACAGGACCCAGTGTATCGGCGCCCGCCATATCATTTAGAGGCTTTATTGAAAATCAGACTTTGGTTTTGCACTACATAATAATTAATAACCTGAGTGGAGATCTTTTGTCTATGGTACAACATGTTTTTGTGTAAAAGTTAAGCGTCCTCCTGCTCCCTGGATGACTAAAGAGGTATAGGTGGCAGGTGGCTTTCCAGAAGTTTGCAAAGGATCGATGTGAACAAAATTGGTGTAACTTTAAATTGCTAAGAAACAGATGCAATTAGATGGTACGAAATGTTAAACGCCGTTATATTCATGACAAAATAACTAATTCTTCGCCCACTGATGTTTGAGAATTCGTTGGATCTCTCGGAATTAATAAATCGAATTCCCCGGAAAATGGCTCCTCTCTTAATTTGGATGATATTAATCGTCACTTTGTTTCTATTACTTCATTGGACCCTCAAGTCCATTCTCAAACTATTGCTTCTATAGAAATGCAGCCTCTCTGGATCCCTGACTTTTGTTTTTCCCCTGTTACTCAGGATTAAATAAAGAAAGCTCTGTTAGCCATTAAGTCTAAGGCTGTGGGTTATGATGCAATTAGTAAGCAAATGATATCTATGATACTTGAGTGCTTGCTTCCAGCTATAACACACATTATAAATTATTCTCTGGACTCAGGTCAATACCCTTCTGCATGGAAAAATGCTTTTGTACGACCTCTTCCTAAAATAACTAATCCTGTACTCCCTAACCATTTTCGTCATATTTCAATTCTCCCATACCTCTCTAAAGTTCTGGAAGCCTGTGTTTTTAAGCAAATATCTATGTTTACTGCAAAAGGGAATTTAAAAAATTAATTTCAATCGGGGTTTCGCTCTGGTCACAGCACTACCACTTCGCTTATCAAAGTCACAGACGATATAAGAAAAAGCTTAGATGAGCAGAAATTAACAGTGGAGTGGTTCTTTTCTTGTATTCGGGGCCGCCAGCAATCGGTTCGTTCAGGTCAGTGTTTTTCTGCATGGGCTGAAATTGAATCTGGTGTGCCGCAAGGCGGAGTACTTTCTTCTATTATGTTTTCCTTATTTATAAACTCTATTTCCTCAGTTTTAGATTATTTGTACCATCTGTATGCGGATGATCATCAGCTTTATGTGCAGTCAGACTTCAATAATCTTAACTTTGTAATACATAAACTAAATAATAACCCAGAAGCCATAAGAGAATGGTCGTGTATATATGGCGTTTCAGTTAATCCAGCCAAATGCAAATAGTGATTGCAATCCGGCGTCATTTTCAGTCCGGCCGAATGATGAGATAACAATAATTATTAAAGTATTTGAGAATGCTAATAAACAAGTGCTATATTAATGACAGTCACCATCATGATTTGATGAATCTGTCTAATGAATGGCACAATTATCACAATAATGATTTGATAAACTTCTTTAAACTTACGATAAGTAATTATTTTAAGTAGAATTTTAAGTAATAATTGTCTTAGTATTTATTATATATAATAAGAAAATCAATTTTGATTTTGAAAAAAGTGTCGTAGAAAACAAATAGTGTTAATTGTGTCATCTGCTGGTCGACTTCTAATAGTGATGCAAATATAACCTTCGGCCGAAAAGACACTTTCAGCGTCTACACTTGTCGGCTTTATTGTCAGCAATTAATCATGAATAGCAGTCAAGTATTCTCCTCGAACTCCGTCATTTTCAAATATAGTCATTTCCTTTTTTAGTGTTTTATCAAAATCTTTCTCTTTTTTGTACGTATGCTATAACACGTGGTTTCTTGCTAGATTTGTAATTGTAATTCTTCCTGTAATGTCAAATCTTTCTTTAGTGATGGTGAATCTAAGTTCTTTTCTACTATTTATTCCATCTTTTTTCTGTCTTTAGATTTTCTTAAAGTTAGGATTTAAATAAATCTTTCTAAGATTTTGTCATTTTTAATCGTATGGCTTTTTTCTTTGGCATAGTAAATCATTAGATCGGTTTACATTTTCATGATATTTATTTTAATTCTGTAAGTATATTAATATTCCTGTTACTACAGTGCGGCGTTATTTAATCCTTGTATTGCTTCATATAATTCAGTACTTTACACCGTGTCATGAGTGAGCAAATCTCTAAAATAAATTTTAGTGTTTTTTCTGCAGTTAACAGGTTCGAATCTCCTTTACGACGCATTTAAAGCACCTACTACTGCAACAGCTCTATTATTTTGGCATAAATTGCTACCACCGGATCCGGTCGCCGGTTCCGGTATATTAGTACCTGGTTCGGTAAAGGTTAAATAATGTCCGGATTGCAATCCCTAAATGCAAAGTCATAATCTTCAGCAGTTCGCAATTATTAGCTAAGATTGATTATGGAAATCTCTCTTCTGTAATTTATAATGGAACTTTGATTCCATATAGTGATTCTATAAAAAATCTTGGCTTGTACATGGAAACTATGACCTGGAAATTGCAGATGTCTGAAGTAAGCCGTAAAGTTGTTGCCACCTTGCGTTCCCTTATCGTCTTAAAAATTTCCTACTTTTCAAAACCAAGCTTACGCTTGTTCATTCCCTCATTTTACCTATTATAGATTATGTAGATGTATATTATCCAGAGCTGTCACAAAATCTTCTAAACAAGTTGGAGCAATTTCTTAATAATTCTATAAGGTTTGTTTTCGGTTTACGTAAGTATGACCACATATCTTCCTATCGTTCAAAGCTTAAATGGCTACCTATACGTCAAAGGCGATGCTCTAGAATTATACTTGTACTTCATTCAATTTTAAACGATCCAAGGACACTTTCTTATCTTAAGGATAACTTTCATTTTCTTCATTCGATTGACGGTCAAATACCACGATAATAAAACCGTCTGAGGATAAGGTTCACATCATACGTCAAATTTTTTCAGATCCTCTTTTACGACACGAGCTATACATCTTTGGAACATCCTCCCCAATGATATTAAGAATACAACAAATAAAGACTCCTTTAAATTACTTCTACGACAACATTACTTGAATCTATTTATTTATTATATATTAACAAATATTTATTTATTTATATATTAATACGGATATTTATTTATAAAGTTTATAAGCATGTACACAAATTAGATATATGTATATATGTATGTATTATTGTATGTAAATATATAATAATAACAGATTAAAAAGATACCTTAACTGTACACTTAGGAAGTCACAAAATAGCCAGTTTATCAACAATGAAAAACAATTTTACAGGAGCCTGACTTCAGACACGCAACATGACACACATAGAAATAGGGAAGATGCACCATTACCACCTGCCAATGAATTACATAACTTCTGGTCTGGTATATGGTCTGTGCCGGTTCACCACAACACAGAGACGGAATGGCTGAACACAGATTTCAAAGTAACTGATACTATCACACCAAAGGCATTTGAACAAATAACTTTGGAAGTATTTGTGCATATATTAAAAAAATCCCATAGCTGGAAAGCACCTGGAAGTGACCGCATACATAACTACTGGTATAAGAAACTTACAGCAATTCGCCCTCTACTTCATAACCATATCAATAACTTTATACAAAAACCAGACATAATGCCCCGTTACATTACACAGGGCCTCACCTACATGATTCCGAAAGACGCAGATCATCAAAATCCTGCCAAATACAGACCTATCACATGTCTCCAAACCATTTATAAACTACTTACAGCATGTATAGCTGAACTCTTACATCAACATATAGCCAAAAACAACATTCTTGCTGAAGAACAAAAAGGATGTCGAAAAAGTAGTCAGGGGTTCAAAGAGCAACTCATAATAGACTCCGTAGCAATGAAACAAGCTATTTCTAATAGGAAAAACATCAGCACAATGTATATAGACTACCGAAAAGCATTTGACTCCGTACCGCACAGCTGGCTCCTATATATACTACAACACTATAAAATTCACCCACAAATTATACATTTTCTTAAAAACTCAATGCAGCACTGGAAAACTACTTTAAAAACCATAGGAACTTCTTGTATAGAAACACCAGAAATTCCAATACGTCGAGGAATATTCCAAGGTGACGCGCTCAGCCCTTTATGGTTCTGTCTCGCATTAAACCCTCTCTCGCAAATGCTGAACAAAACTAATCATGGTTACTCTATCATCAATCCACACAAACACACCACTCTTACACACCTGATGTACATGGATGACACAAAACTATACAGTAACATTACACAGTCACTGCATCGCCTTGCAGACATCACCCAATCTTTCTCAAACGACATTCATATGGAGTTTGGGATCGACAAGTGCAAAACGTTCTCGGTTAAAAACGGAAAAATTAACCGTAATAGCTATAGCCTAATATCAGGAGACACGATTGAACCCCTAGAACCCTTGGCCGCATATAAATACTTAGGTTTCCAACAAGCGCGACAGATTCATCAAAAGGAAACGAAAGAAAGTCTCAAAAAGAAATTTAAACATCGGCTCAATAGTATATTCCGCTCTCAGCTCAACTCCCGCAACATGTCAAAAGCTATCAACAGTTACGCAATCCCCATACTGACATATTCGTTTGGTGTAATAAACTGGACTCAAGGTGACCTTATCGATCTACAGCGTATTATAAATACCACTCTAACGGCTCACCGCAAGCACCACCCCAGATCCTGCGTACAAAGGATGACTCTTTCAAGATCCGATGGAGGACGAGGTATAATAGATGTCCTCAACTTGCATAACAAACAAATCAAATGCCTTCGACAATATTTCTATCAACGCTCAGAACACTCACCTCTCCACGAAATAGTAACCTTAGCCGACAAACGCTTCACACCACTTAACCTTGCAGACCGAAATACACAACGAAACGAACGGATCACTGAAGTAAAAGAGAAGATCGCCTCATGGCAACAGAAGTCCCTACACGGAAGGCACTATCACGACCTGCAGCAGCCACATGTCGACAAAAAAGCATCGAACGCATGGCTGAGACACGGTGAACTCTTCCCAGAGACGGAGGCCTTCATGTTAGCGATCCAGGACCAGGTCATCGATACTCGAAACTTCCAGAGACACATAATACGCGCACCTAACCTTCGCACTGATACTTGCAGACATTGCCACTCTAGTCCCGAAAACATACAACACATTACATCCGCCTGTAGAGCCCTTGCACAAACCGACTATAAACACCGGCATGACCAGGTAGCTTCCATAATACACCAACATCTTGCGCTTAAATTCAAATTTATACAAAAAATTACACCATATTACAAATATAAACCGGACATTATATTAGAAAATAATAATCATAGAATTTACTGGGACAGGACCATTATCACGGATAAAACTATCCACTTCAATAGGCCAGATATCACAATGTATGACAAAAATAACAAAACTACTTACCTTATTGACATTGCCATACCAAACACCCATAACATTCAATCCACCATTGCTGAAAAACTTACAAAATATCAAGATTTAGCAATAGAACTGAAGCGTCAATGGAAAGCAGAAGCCATCCATATAGTCCCATTAGTTATCTCATCTACCGGAGTCATACCTAAAAGCCTACAACGCACTTTAGATATTTTGCAAGTACCCCAACACACACTTTACACCCTGCAGAAAGCTGTCATTCTCAACACCTGCCGACTCACACGCAAATTCCTCACCACTTCATCCGTCACCTCCGCTAACACCATCACCTAGCACCTGCTCACGCTTGGCTTCGGCCCGTGTGATTGGGTTTTAAGTTACCTCTATAATAGGGAGAATATAGATGTATAATAATAACAATAATAATAATAATAATTCGCCCCCTAAACAACCACACGTCCTGATTGACCATCTAATCACGTGGGGGCGGACACACGAATGAGAAATTCCTGGCGTGGCTAACGTGGCTCTGGAAACCCATAAAAAAATGGAGACTCGTTCTAAAAGTAAACGTATAGGGCCGCTGCCCGGGGGCAATCGCCGGGGCGCACCTGGAGCTGACGCTGGGTGTCTCAGCATGCGAACCGTCAGCGGTGAGGAGTTGAACAGGCGGGCTCCCACCGACAAAGATGCTACAGCCGAAATCATTGACGATGGTGACAGACTGACGGACAGGACGGACACCCTTGTAGAACAGTATAGTCCAAGCACAGTATCATACACACCCTCAAGACCATCCATACCATCGTCACCAACACTTTCATCATCCTCCATCATTAGTTTAAATACAGTTCCACCCACTTCGACCTTGAATGCTGCGCGGGGGGTATCTACCTTCTTACCCGCGTCCACCAAGGCTGGAAAAGCAAGAGTTCGCATGAGATGGAGTAAGGAAGTAAACATATTTATCATGCGAACCTACTTCCACATCACCAAATTAGAGACCGACATGACCACATACAGACAGCAATTGCATGAACGTTTTACAAGACAATACCCAGAAATTAGTGTTACAGAACAACGTATTTCCGATCAAAGAAGAACAATAGTAAGAAATAAACTTTTACCTCAAGAAGTAATAGATCAAGTAAAAGAAGAAGTACGTGCACAGTTGCAAGATTTAAATCAAAATCCTATTCCAGAAACGCATACACCAAATGAAAATGCTCTACAAATACCAACACAATCACTCTCTCAAATGCAACATAACACACAATCTCAATCTTACAATCAATCACAAGCATACTCACAAAGTATACATAGATCGAACATATCCACACAAACCGAGAGCATAACCCTAATGCTAGAAAATGATATTGAGACTTTAGAAAATCTCGATCAAAATCAGTTATCAGAAACGTACATCCAAGAAATACACGATAAACTGAAAGCCGCTCTAATTCAATATTCAAGTATGGATCCAGCAGCTCGCCCAAAACTACCCAAGCTTAAATACACCCCAAAACTCTCTTACCTAGTACATTTATTTAATCGTATCATACTAAACCAATATATATCCGAAGACACACAACTTTTAGATGTACACACATTGATATATTGCACAGTGTTAGTCATTTCTGAAGAACTTAATTATAAAATAACAGAATACACAGGTAGCACAAGATCAAAAGTCATAAGCAAACCAGCTTGGCAACAGAGACTCGAAAGAGATATAGAAAAATTGCGAGCTGATTGCGGTAGACTAACACAATATATCAACAATAACAGATCTAACAAAGTAGTCAAAAGAGTCGAGGCAATATTTAAGAACATGGCCACCCACACGAGACATGAAAACGACAATAGACAACCCGAAGAATTCTTAGACACTTTAAAACAGAAGCTCGCACTAAAAGTTCATAGGCTGAGAAGATACAAGAAGGCACAAGAACGCAAAAATGATAACGCCATGTTTGCTACTAACGAAAAGCACTTTTACAGAAATTTACAGAAACCACAAATAGACGTAACAACCGACACCAACACCGAACTACCAACATCAGAACAATTGGAAACATTCTGGTCAAGTGTATGGGAAGAACAAGTGCAGCATAATGATAAAGCTGGTTGGATCGCAGATGAAGAATCTAAGTGGAGCGCACTAGAAGAAATGGAATTCATAGAGATATCTGAATCTGATATAAATAGTATTACAGCAAAACTACACAACTGGAAATCCCCTGGCATTGATAAAGTTCATAATTACTGGTACAAAAAACTAGACTCATTACACAAAATTATCGCTAAAAACTTAACAGACATAATTTTAGGACAACAAAATGTACCTGAATTTATTGCAACAGGAATAACTTACATGTTACCGAAGTCTCAATACTCTCCACAACCGTCCCAATACAGACCAATTACTTGCCTACCGACAATATACAAGATCCTAACCTCAGCAATCACAGCTAAAATCAATAAACACATAGAACACCACAACATAATAGCGGAAGAACAAAAAGGGTGCAGACGAGGCCACATGGGGTGCAAGGAACAATTAATTATAGATTCAATAGTCCACAAACATGCTGCCACAAAAAATAGAAACCTTCATTGTACCTACATAGATTACAAAAAAGCTTTTGATAGTATTCCACACTCTTGGTTAATTCAAGTATTACGAATATATAAAATAAACTCAAAAATAATAGACTTCTTACATCATATTATGTCCCGCTGGAAAACTACACTCCAATTGAATTACCACGACAATATCGTAAGAACTCGGCAGATATTTATTAGGAAAGGTATTTATCAAGGTGACTCCCTGAGTCCACTATGGTTCTGTCTCGCACTGAACCCTCTATCTCACCTACTGCATCAGTGCCAAGCCGGATATAGATTCAAACACAACACCACAGAAGATATCACTATCTCACACCTCATATATATGGATGACATTAAATTATACTCAAAAATAGAAACAGAAATGAAAAAATTAATAGACACTATAACAGAATTTAGTAAAGACATCAACATGCAGTTTGGACTAGATAAATGCAAAACACTACACATAATAAGAGGCAAAATAAAACCAGGCGACTATACAATTAACACTACTGATACAATCACTGCTATGGAACCGAAAGATCTATATAAATATTTAGGATACAAACAACTCAAAGGACTAGACCATACAGCAATTAAACACACACTGAATACGGAATATAAACGGAGAGTAACCGCAGTATGCAAAACACATCTCGCCGGAAAACATCTAATTAAAGCATTAAATAGCTACGCGATCCCAATATTAACCTACTCGTTTGGAGTGATTAAATGGTCTAAAACTGACATCCAGCAAATAGAGAGAACCACACGCACCACACTTACAAAACACAATAATCTACACCCTAAATCCGCAATAGAAAGACTCACAATAAAACGACAAAATGGAGGGAGAGGCCTAATAGACATTCACCACCTTTGGCAGAAACAAATTAGTAGCCTCAAAACATTCTTTCACAATAAATCTCACACTAGTGACATCCATCAAGCCGTAGCCCTAAATGATTTTAACTACACTCCACTTAACCTAAATGAACAAACAGATACACAACACAATAACACTAATGACCCACAAAAACAAAAGTTAGAGGACTGGAAAAAGAAAGTCCTACACGGACGACACCCACATGACCTGGAACAACCACATGTAGATTCAGTAGCATCAAATAAATGGCTTAAAATTGGCAACCTTTTCCCGGAAACTGAAGGGTTTATCATCGCTATACAAGACCAAATCATCAACACTAAAAACTACAGGAAATATGTCATTAAAGACCCCACAGTAACCAACGACAAATGCCGTAAGTGCTTCACCTAACCAGAGACAATACAACACATAACAGGGGCATGTACAACTCTCACACAGACTGTTACGGACAGCGAGAGACCCGCCGCCCCGTCGCCCCTTCGTTCCCCGTTACGTCCCGCGCACCCCGCACGCCGGCGCTGATCACGCGATATCGGGCAACCAATCAGCGCGCGTGCGGCGAAAATTGCCATCGGGCGGATAACCCCACGGAATGAAGCGCTCTCCTCGGGAATATAAGAAGGGCGATTTAGGCCGTGGGCGTTCGTTCATTCGGAAGCGTTCATTCGGAAGCGGCACTCGAGAAGACAACAAGGAAGAATCAAGACAGAAAACCTGGAAGAAGACTCCATACTGAAGACCTCCCTTTTTGAATAGTGATTTAGTTAATAGTGCCGAACCCTTTGTAAATAGTGAATATAGTATAATTAAAAGTACCATCTTTTCTTCGAGCAGTCCCCTAGTATAGCTAACCTCACACCGCCAGTTAAAGTATAAATACAGTCCACTACTCTCCATCCACTTTATCTTGGTCCATCGTCGCCGGATAGCAGCCAGAAGAAGGAAGAAAGAAGTAAGAAGAAACAAGAAAGAAGGCAGTTATAGAAGAAAGAACGTAATTATAGAAGAAAGAACATAATTACAGAAGAGAGAAGATTATTATAGAAGATCTTCAAGGAAGAAAGAAGTTCGTCGACGAAGAAAGAAGATCGTCGGTACTAATTTCTTCCCTGTTTCTTGTTACGCCTACGTCATACACGTCTATTGTCTGTTTCCAGACAATTTCTTGTTTCTTAACCGCGTTTACGCGGCCAGTGGTCACTCCCTAACGGTGCCAAACTGTGACCATCTGGTAACGCCCTTGTGGCGGGAACGACATCCATACGTGTGTCTTTTTAAAGACTGTACGTACGTCTTTTTGAAGACGACCGGAGGTCGCAACTTGGGACCATGAGGAAGACACGAAGCCAGAAGACACGGAACGATGATGACACGCCGGTAGGAATGCGCATATTCGAAGAAGCACCCGCGTCCCCGTCCGATTATCTCGCGATGGCACAAGCGCCCTCCGCCGCGCCCGCGCTCCAGGCCCCGCCCGCGCCCGCATCTACGCCCGCGCCCGCGCCCCCGCCGCCGCGCCCCGCTATGTCCGTGTCCACGACCGATCGTTTGGGAGAGGTTAGCATTTCCGCGCCGCGTACAGAGACACTCGCCGCGATTATAGAAGATCTTCCGTCTACAGAGATTAGTTCGATAGTACGTACCATCGCGCCTGTAACAGACGTACATAGGCCCGCGCCCCGCGCCCCGTCGGTTCGCTCCGTTCGTTCAGCCCGGTCGACGGCTAGTGCGATAGCTAAATTAAAGCAAATTGAATATAACGCCGCGGAGGAACTAGCTGCAATTAGGAGGAAGCAATTGCAGTTGGAAGAAGATCTTATTAGGAAGAAGTACG